GCCTGGAGTTAGATCCCTGCAGAGGCCATTTCAAAAGGTATTGGGTGGAATTCAGCCGTCCCTGAAGGGATTTTTTTACTTCTTGGATTTTTTTGCAGACACAGGAAGTATACTGACTATGTAGGAAAAGCTGTTGGGGCAGAGTGAGCTTCCTGTTAGTGGAAATAAGTATCCGCACATGGCACCCTCTGTTGGAAATTAGATATATAGATATGCGATTTCCCATTCTAATTTCATTGACTTTACATTCCTTTTCTTTTACCGCATTCTGCAGCTGATTTGGCCCTCTCCCCACTGTTTTTAAGGTGAGTTGCAGGTCACATGTGAAATGCTTGTTGGGTTGGGGATTCTCTCAACCCAGCTAGCATTTCATGTATTGTGTAATTAGACCCTAATTCTGATGGATACAAGTTTGTCATAGTCCTTTCGTAAACAGATGTATATCAGGGTTCTGGGTTTGGACAGTGCTTCATATAAAGCGTAGAGATTCTCAGACACAAACAGACATAGTTGAATGATTATTGAGAAAACTAATAGCATAGGAGATTAATAAACAGAATACAAGGTGAAAAGAGCACACACACGTACACTCTAAAACAACAATCTAATAAATTCTAACTTAGCTAACTTCTAACCTAAGCAAATTGTACTAGTCTAAAGAGAGAGATGGAGGGAGGGATAAGGAGCCATAAATACACAAGCCTGTCTGGCTAGTGGAGTCATAAGAACATAAGAGAAGCCATGCTGGATCAGGCCAACGGCCCTCCAGTCCAATCTTCTGTGTCACACAGTGACCAAAACATGTGCCATCAGGAGGTCCACCAGTGGGACCAAAACTCCAGAAACCTTCCCATTGTTGCCTACCAAGCGGCAAGAATACAGAGCATCACTGCCCCAGACATAGTGTTTCATTTATACTTTGTGGCTAATAGCCATTCTGCTAATAGATCTCTGCTCCATATGTTTATCCAATCCCCGCTTGAAGCTCTCTATGCCTGTTGCCACCACCACTTCCTGTGGCAGTGAATTCCACATGTTAATTACTCTTTGGGTGAAGAAGCACTTCCTTTTATCTGTTCTAAGCTTATTGTTCATTAATCTCATTGAGTGCCCACGAGTTCTTGTATTGTGAGAAGGGGAGAAAAGTACTTCTTTATCTACTGTTCTCTAGCCCACAC